ATGGCTTCTGTTAAGAGAAAACCACCATAACTATACTCCTAGGTACATATTCCCCATAGAAGCTTCCTTCTCCACAGGAAGAGAGAAGTGAATGTAAAGCTGCCACCAAGACCTGGAAGAGAATAAGAACTAGATTAGAGAATAGTTCCGTATCTTTTCCTGTACTTGCTTGATTAGCCCAGCCTTCCCCCCCCACCCCCCCCCCCCCAAAAGGGCTGCACTTCATCCAGAGCAGAGCACCAGAGCCAGGCCTGACACCACAACTCGCTTCCAAAAATACTCCTGCCTCAGCGCTGGCAATCACTAGATGATAATACAGCTGAACCAACTGCTAAGGAGGTGTCTACAGGACAGGCAGCTCAAACTCCATTTTATGGAGCCTGCATTGCATTTACAAACGGAGAAGATACAGCGGCAGAGTATCTGGAGTTCCGTAAGCCATGGCGCACAGAGGAGAAAAAACAAGAAACCCCTCTCACTGCAAGCTCAGTACTAAACCCAGCATTACAGCAAGATACACGAATCCAAACAAATATTTGCACTACTCCCTTTTCAAATCAAGGTTTTGTTTTTCTGCCAGTAAAAGAAGTTGCTAAAAATTCTTAATATTTTTTTCAATATTTTTAGGGTGCATCAGAAAGTTTCAAGAAGCAGCAAAGCCATTTACTCTAGATGAGCTTAGCCTAAATAAGCTCAGAGAGAAGATTACGTGATCATGCCCTGGTCAGAGCAAAGACACAAAGTCTCAGCAATACCAGTTCAGACTATACTTCGCTCATCATTGCTTTGGGCAAATTTACTTCCATTCAATAAGGAGCTTGCTCCCAAGTCAGGAACTAGAAAAGTTTTTTTTTCCTAGAGGAAAAAGCAAACACACACACACACACGCCTCCCCACCCCCAACAAACACACGATTAATTCTTTTCAGGATCACGTGGCTTTCTACAGGACAGTTTGCAATAAGTTAACACTGACCCTTGGGAGATGAGACCGGAGTGGCTGTTACAAGCCTGAAAAACTGAGCCCCGAGTTGCTATTTCTGCCTTCCTGTACCCACCTCTGTCGCAACAGCAGCACGGAGGCGGTGGTACTTTGCACCGTCAGTACGGAGGTCGTCTCTCCACGCAGAGCTTGTTCGTTCAGCTGTGTGCAGGACAAAGCCACGTTGGTTGAGTAACGCAGGCAAAAGCTTTCTATTTCCCCTTCCCAAACACCATTAGCTAAGCCAGCAAAACCCCCCTTTTTCCTCCTGACACACCCATACACATTGGTCCCTTTTGCTGCCACCCCACAAGGCGGAAGAGACTCCAAACAGGCATTAATTAAAGCTTTGGCTGATCTGCAAGCATGCAACAGATAAAAGGAGCCGATTTAAGTTTTATGCTCATCCATGAATTAAGTGTTTTTTTCTCCTTATCTCCTAGTGTTACAGATAACAAGGGGATGAAGCACATTTAGCAGGGGAGCAAAGGAAGGGAGGAGGGGGACATCTCTGATAGAACCAAGCTGGAGCTAGGGAAGATAGGTCACGAGTTGGGATTCCAAGAAGCTCAAGGAGAGCCAGTACCAGGCAAAACCAAGAGGAAAAAAAAGTCATACCTTAAATGTTGCTGAAGTCAGTGGCTCTCCAAGGGTCCAGAGGCCTATTTTGATCTAGCCTTTCCCTCATGCCACCCATTTGCACCCTATTTCTCATCTCCCTCCTCGCATTCCCCCCCCCCTTGCAGCCCCT